CAACTACACCGTCAACTGCGGCGTCAACAACACCGTCAACTACACCGTCAACTGTGGCGTCAACAACACCGTCAACTACACCGTCAACTGTGGCGTCAACAACACCGTCAACTGCGGCGTCAACTGCGGCGTCAACTACACCGTCAACTGCGGCGTCAACTACACCGTCAACTACACCGTCAGCTGCGGCGTCAACTACACCGTCAACTGCGGCGTCAACTGCGGCGTCAACTGCGGCGTCAACTACACCGTCAACTGCGGCGTCAACTGCGGCGTCAACTGCACCGTCAACTGCGGCGTCAACTACACCGTCAACTACACCGTCAACTGCGGCGTCAACTACACCGTCAACTGCGGCGTCAACTACACCGTCAACTGCGGCGTCAACTGCGGCGTCAACTACACCGTCAACTGCGGCGTCAACTACACCGTCAACTGCGGCGTCAACTACACCGTCAACTGCGGCGTCAACTGCGGCGTCAACTGCGGCGTCAACTACACCGTCAACTGCGGCGTCAACTGCACCGTCAACTGCGGCGTCAACTGCGGCGTCAACTACACCGTCAACTGCGGCGTCAACTGCGGCGTCAACTACACCGTCAACTGCGGCGTCAACTACACCGTCAACTGCGGCGTCAACTGCAGCGTCAACAACACCGTCAACTGCGGCGTCAACTGCGGCGTCAACTGCGGCGTCAACTACACCGTCAACTGCGGCGTCAACTGCGGCGTCAACTACACCGTCAACTGCGGCGTCAACTGCGGCGTCAACTGCGGCGTCAACTACACCGTCAACTGCGGCGTCAACTACACCGTCAACTGCGGCGTCAACTGCGGCGTCAACTGTGGCGTCAACTACACCGTCAACTGCGGCGTCAACTGCACCGTCAACTGCGGCGTCAACTGCGGCGTCAACTACACCGTCAACTGCGGCGTCAACTGCGGCGTCAACTACACCGTCAACTGCGGCGTCAACTACACCGTCAACTGCGGCGTCAACTACACCGTCAACTGCGGCGTCAACTACACCGTCAACTGCGGCGTCAACTGGGGCGTCAACTGCACCGTCAACTGCGGCGTCAACTACACCGTCAACTGCGGCGTCAACTGCACCGTCAACTGCGGCGTCAACTGCGGCGTCAACTGCGGCGTCAACAACACCGTCAACTGCGGCGTCAACTGCGGCGTCAACTGCGGCGTCAACTGCGGCGTCAACTACACCGTCAACTGCGGCGTCAACTGCGGCGTCAACTACACCGTCAACCGCGGCGTCAACTGCGGCGTCAACTACACCGTCAACTGCGGCGTCAACTGCACCGTCAACTGCGGCGTCAACTGCGGCGTCAACTGCGGCGTCAACAACACCGTCAACTGCGGCGTCAACTGCGGCGTCAACTGCGGCGTCAACTACACCGTCAACTGCGGCGTCAACTGCGGCGTCAACTACACCGTCAACTGCGGCGTCAACTGCGGCGTCAACAACACCGTCAACTGCGGCGTCAACTGCGGCATCAACTACACCGTCAACTACACCGTCAACTGCGGCGTCAACTACACCGTCAACTGCGGCGTCAACAACACCGTCAACTGTGGCGTCAACAACACCGTCAACTGCGGCGTCAACTACACCGTCAACTACACCGTCAACTGCGGCGTCAACTACACCGTCAACTGCGGCGTCAACAACACCGTCAACTGTGGCGTCAACAACACCGTCAACTGCGGCGTCAACTGCGGCGTCAACTGCGGCGTCAACTACACCGTCAACTGCGGCGTCAACTGCGGCGTCAACAAAACCGTCAACTGCGGCGTCAACTACACCGTCAACTGCGGCGTCAACTGCGGCGTCAACTGCGGCGTCAACTGCGGCGTCAACTACACCGTCAACTGCGGCGTCAACTACACCGTCAACTGTGGCGTCAACAACACCGTCAACTGCGGCGTCAACTGCGGCGTCAACTACACCGTCAACTGCGGCGTCAACTACACCGTCAACTGCGGCGTCAACTACACCGTCAACTGCGGCGTCAACTGCGGCGTCAACTACACCGTCAACTGCGGCGTCAACTACACCGTCAACTGCGGCGTCAACTACATCGTCAACTGCGGCGTCAACTACACCGTCAACTGCGGCGTCAACTACATCGTCAACTGCGGCGTCAACTACACCGTCAACTGCGGCGTCAACTACACCGTCAACTGCGGCGTCAACTACACCGTCAACTGCGGCGTCAACTGCGGCGTCAACTACACCGTCAACTGCGGCGTCAACTACACCGTCAACTGCGGCGTCAACTGCGGCGTCAACTACACCGTCAACAGCGGCGTCAACTACACCGTCAACTGCGACGTCAACTACATCGTCAACTGCGGCGTCAACTACACCGTCAACTGCGGCGTCAACTGCGGCGTCAACTGGGGCGTCAACTGCACCGTCAACTGCGGCGTCAACTGCGGCGTCAACTACACCGTCAACTGCGGCGTCAACTGCACCGTCAACTGCGGCGTCAACTGCGGCGTCAACTGCGGCGTCAACTGCGGCGTCAACTGCGGCGTCAACTGCGGCGTCAACTGCGGCGTCAACTACACCGTCAACTGCGGCGTCAACTGCGGCGTCAACTACACCGTCAACTGCGGCGTCAACTGCGGCGTCAACTACACCGTCAACTGCGGCGTCAACTGCGGCGTCAACTGCGGCGTCAACAACACCGTCAACTGCGGCGTCAACTGCGGCGTCAACTGCGGCATCAACTACACCGTCAACTACACCGTCAACTGCGGCGTCAACTACACCGTCAACTGCGGCGTCAACAACACCGTCAACTGTGGCGTCAACAACACCGTCAACTGCGGCGTCAACTACACCGTCAACTACACCGTCAACTGCGGCGTCAACTACACCGTCAACTGCGGCGTCAACAACACCGTCAACTGTGGCGTCAACAACACCGTCAACTGCGGCGTCAACTGCGGCGTCAACTGCGGCGTCAACTGCGGCGTCAACTACACCGTCAACTGCGGCGTCAACTGCGGCGTCAACTGCGGCGTCAACAACACCGTCAACTGCGGCGTCAACTGCGGCGTCAACAACACCGTCAACTGCGGCGTCAACTGCGGCGTCAACTGCGGCATCAACTACACCGTCAACTACACCGTCAACTGCGGCGTCAACTACACCGTCAACTGCGGCGTCAACAACACCGTCAACTGTGGCGTCAACAACACCGTCAACTGCGGCGTCAACTACACCGTCAACTACACCGTCAACTGCGGCGTCAACTACACCGTCAACTGCGGCGTCAACAACACCGTCAACTGTGGCGTCAACAACACCGTCAACTGCGGCGTCAACTGCGGCGTCAACTACACCGTCAACTGCGGCGTCAACTGCGGCGTCAACTGCGGCGTCAACTACACCGTCAACTGCGGCGTCAACTGCGGCGTCAACTGCGGCGTCAACTGCGGCGTCAACTACACCGTCAACTGCGGCGTCAACTACACCGTCAACTGTGGCGTCAACAACACCGTCAACTGCGGCGTCAACTGCGGCGTCAACTACACCGTCAACTGCGGCGTCAACTACACCGTCAACTGCGGCGTCAACTACACCGTCAACTGCGGCGTCAACTGCGGCGTCAACTACACCGTCAACTGCGGCGTCAACTACACCGTCAACTGCGGCGTCAACTACATCGTCAACTGCGGCGTCAACTACACCGTCAACTGCGGCGTCAACTACATCGTCAACTGCGGCGTCAACTACACCGTCAACTGCGGCGTCAACTACACCGTCAACTGCGGCGTCAACTACACCGTCAACTGCGGCGTCAACTACACCGTCAACTGCGGCGTCAACTACACCGTCAACTGCGGCGTCAACTGCGGCGTCAACTACACCGTCAACTGCGGCGTCAACTACACCGTCAACTGCGGCGTCAACTACATCGTCAACTGCGGCGTCAACTACACCGTCAACTGCGGCGTCAACTGCGGCGTCAACTGCGGCGTCAACTACACCGTCAACTGCGGCGTCAACTGCGGCGTCAACTGCACCGTCAACTGCGGCGTCAACTGCACCGTCAACTGCGGCGTCAACTACACCGTCAACTGCGGCGTCAACTACACCGTCAACTGCGGCGTCAACTGCGGCGTCAACTGCACCGTCAACTGCGGCGTCAACTGCACCGTCAACTGCGGCGTCAACTGCGGCGTCAACTGCACCGTCAACTGCGGCGTCAACTGCACCGTCAACTGCACCGTCAACTGCGGCGTCAACTACACCGTCAACTGCGGCGTCAACTACACCGTCAACTGCGGCGTCAACTGCGGCGTCAACTGCACCGTCAACTGCGGCGTCAACTGCACCGTCAACTGCGGCGTCAACTGCACCGTCAACTGCGGCGTCAACTACACCGTCAACTGCGGTGTCAACTGTGGCGTCAACTACACCGTCAACTGCGGCGTCAACTACACCGTCAACTGCGGCGTCAACTGCGGCGTCAACTGCACCGTCAACTGCACCGTCAACTGCGGCGTCAACTACACCGTCAACTGCGGCGTCAACTGCACCGTCAACTGCGGCGTCAACTGCACCGTCAACTACACCGTCAACTGCGGCGTCAACTGCACCGTCAACTGCGGCGTCAACTGCACCGTCAACTGCGGCGTCAACTACACCGTCAACTGCGGCGTCAACTGCACCGTCAACTGCGGCGTCAACTACACCGTCAACTGCGGCGTCAACTACACCATCAACTGCGGCGTCAACTGCACCGTCAACTGCGGCGTCAACTACACCGTCAACTGCGGCGTCAACTACACCATCAACTGCGGCGTCAACTGCGGCGTCAACTGCACCGTCAACTGCGGCGTCAACTACACCGTCAACTGCGTCGTCAACTACACCGTCAACTGCGGCGTCAACTACACCATCAACTGCGGCGTCAACTGCACCGTCAACTGCGGCGTCAACTGCGGCGTCAACTGCGGCGTCAACTCACCCATGTGAGCGCTGGTCTCAAAGTCTGCTGGGCTCAGCGGCTCTCCGGGAATGTCATTGTGTATCTGAGGGAAGGACCGAGAGATTACTCTTGTTAGGCATCGTTTGGAAATTTGCATACTTCAATTGTCATGTATGTGTGTTTACCCCCACCTACAGGGGCCTGCAGGTCGTGCCTCAGCTCCTGGGCCCAGGCTTTCAAGTCGATCATTGATTATTATACAAGTTTTAGATCACATTACAGCTTGAAATTCCAACTCTTAAAAGTATATTCCACTTCCTCAGAACCAAACTTATCTGGTGAGTCACTCGTCAGACCTCATGTCTTTAGGTCCTGTCCCTGGTCATGTCCCTGGTCATGTCCTTGGTCATGTCCCTGGTCATGTCCCTGGTCATGTCCCTGGTCATGTCCCTGGTCATGTCCCTGGTCATGTCCCTGGTCATGTCCCTGGTCATGTCCCTGGTCATGTCCCTGGTCATGTCCCTGGTCATGCTCCTGGTCATGTTCCTGGTCATGTCCCTGGTCATGTCCCTGGTCATGTTCCTGGTCCTGCTCCTGGTCATGTCCCTGGTCATGTCCCTGGTCATGTCCCTGGTCATGTCCCTGGTCATGTCCCTGGTCATGTCCCTGGTCATGTCCCTGGTCATGTCCCTGGTCATGCTCCTGGTCATGTCCCTGGTCATGTCCCTGGTCATGTCCCTGGTCATGCTCCTGGTCATGTCCCTGGTCATGTCCCTGGTCATGTCCCTGGTCATGCTCCTGGTCATGTCCCTGGTCATGTCCCTGGTCATGCTCCTGGTCATGTCCCTGGTCATGTCCCTGGTCATGTCCCTGGTCATGCTCCTGGTCATGTCCCTGGTCATGCCCCTGGTCATGCCCCTGGTCATGTCCCTGGTCATGTCCCTGGTCATGTCCCTGGTCATGTCCCTGGTCATGTTCCTGGTCATGTCCCTGGTCATGCTCCTGGTCATGTCCCTGGTCATGCTCCTGGTCATGTCCCTGGTCATGTCCCTGGTCATGTCCCTGGTCATGTCCCTGGTCATGCTCCTGGTCATGTCCCTGGTCATGTCCCTGGTCATGTCCCTGGTCATGTCCCTGGTCATGCTCCTGGTCATGTCCCTGGTCATGTTCCTGGTCATGTCCCTGGTCATGTCCCTGGTCATGTCCCTGGTCATGTCCCTGGTCATGCTCCTGGTCATGTCCCTGGTCATGTCCCTGGTCATGTCCCTGGTCATGTCCCTGGTCATGCTCCTGGTCATGTCCCTGGTCATGTCCCTGGTCATGTCCCTGGTCATGTCCCTGGTCATGTCCCTGGTCATGCTCCTGGTCATGTCCCTGGTCATGTCCCTGGTCATGCTCCTGGTCATGTCCCTGGTCATGTCCCTGGTCATGCTCCTGGTCATGTCCCTGGTCATGTCCCTGGTCATGTCCCTGGTCATGCTGATTGTATTGGACACGGTATTGTGCCTGGTCATGCTCCTGGTCATGTCCCTGGTCATGTCCCTGGTCATGTCCCTGGTCATGTCCCTGGTCATGTCCCTGGTCATGTCCCTGGTCATGCTCCTGGTCATGCTCCTGGTCATGTCCCTGGTCATGTCCCTGGTCATGTCCCTGGTCATGTCCCTGGTCATGTCCCTGGTCATGTCCCTGGTCATGCTCCTGGTCATGTCCCTGGTCATGTCCCTGGTCATGCTCCTGGTCATGCCCCTGGTCATGTCCCTGGTCATGCTCCTGGTCATGTCCCTGGTCATGTCCCTGGTCATGCTCCTGGTCATGCCCCTGGTCATGTCCCTGGTCATGTCCCTGGTCATGTCCCTGGTCATGCTCCTGGTCATGTCCCTGGTCATGTCCCTGGTCATGTCCCTGGTCATGCTCCTGGTCATGTCCCTGGTCATGTCCCTGGTCATGTCCCTGGTCATGCTCCTGGTCATGTCCCTGGTCATGTCCCTGGTCCTGTCCCTGGTCATGTCCCTGGTCATGTCCCTGGTCATGCTCTTGGTCATGTCCCTGGTCACCCAACAGAACACAGGGCTACCAACCCCCACCCAACAGAACACAGGGCTACCAACCCCCACCCAACAGAACACAGGGCTACCAACCCCCACCCAACAGAACAGAGGGCTACCAACCCGCACCCAACAGAACACAGGGCTACCATCCCCCACCCAACAGAACACAGGGCTACCAACCCCCACCCAACAGAACAGAGGGCTACCAACCCGCACCCAACAGAACACAGGGCTACCAACCCCCACCCAACAGAACACAGGGCTACCAACCCCTACCCAACAGAACACAGGGCTACCAACCCGCACCAAACAGAACAGAGGGCTACCAACCCCCACCCAATAGAACACAGGGCTACCAACCCCCACCCAACAGAACAGAGGGCTACCAACCCCCACCAAACAGAACAGAGGGCTACCAACCCCCACCCAACAGAACACAGGGCTACCAACCCGCACCCAACAGAACACAGGGCTACCAACCCCCACCCAACAGAACACAGGGCTACCAACCCCCACCAAACAGAACACAGGGCTACCAACCTGCACCCAACAGAACACAGGGCTACCAACCCCCACCCAACAGAACAGAGGGCTACCAACCCTCAGCCAACAGAACACAGGGCTACCAACCCCCACCCAACAGAACACAGGGCTACCAACCCCCACCCAACAGAACACAGGGCTACCAACCCGCACTCAACAGAACACAGGGCTACCAACTCTCACCCAACAGAACAGAAGGCTACCAACCCCCAGCCAACAGAACACAGGGCTACCAACCCCCACCCAACAGAACACAGGGCTACCAACCCCCACCCAACAGAACACAGGGCTACCAACTCTCACCCAACAGAACAGAGGGCTACCAACCCCCACCCAATAGAACACAGGGCTACCAACCCCACCCAACAGAACAGAGGGCTACCAACCCCCACCCAACAGAACACAGGGCTACCAACCCCCACCCAACAGAACACAGGGCTACCAACTCTCACCCAACAGAACAGAGGGCTACCAACCCCCAGCCAACAGAACACAGGGCTACCAACCCCCACCCAACAGAACACAGGGCTACCAACCCCCACCCAATAGAACACAGGGCTACCAACCCCCACCCAACAGAACAGAGGGCTACCAACCCCCACCCAACAGAACACAGGGCTACCAACCCCCACCCAACAGAACACAGGGCTACCAACCCCCACCCAACAGAACACAGGGCTACCAACCCCCACCCAACAGAACACAGGGCTACCAACCCCCACCCAACAGTACACAGGGCTACCAACCCACACCAAACAGAACAGAGGGCTACCAACCCCCATCCAACAGTACACAGGGCTACCAACCCCCAGCCAACAGAACACAGGGCTACCAACCCACACCCAACAGAACACAGGGCTACCAACCCCCAGCCAACAGAACACAGGGCTACCAACCCCCACCCAACAGAACACAGGGCTACCAACCCCCACCCAATAGAACACAGGGCTACCAACCCCCACCCAACAGAACAGAGGGCTACCAACCCCCACCCAACAGAACACAGGGCTACCAACCCCCACCCAACAGAACACAGGGCTACCAACCCCCACCCAACAGAACACAGGGCTACCAACCCACACCAAACAGAACAGAGGGCTACCAACCCCCACCCAACAGTACACAGGGCTACCAACCCTCATCCAACAGAACACAGGGCTACCAACCCTCATCCAACAGAACACAGGGCTACCAACCCCCACCCAACAGTACACAGGGCTACAAACCCCCACCCAACAGAACACAGGGCTACCACCCCCACCCAACAGAACACAGGGCTACCAACCCTCACCGAACAGAACACAGGGCTACCAACCCTCACCGAACAGAACACAGGGCTACCAACCCCCACCCAACAGTACACAGGGCTACCAACCCTCATCCAACAGAACACAGGGCTACCAACCCTCATCCAACAGAACACAGGGCTACCAACCCCCACCCAACAGTACACAGGGCTACCAACCCTCATCCAACAGAACACAGGGCTACCAACCCCCACCCAACAGTACACAGGGCTACCAACCCTCATCCAACAAAACACAGGGCTACCAACCCACACCAAACAGAACATAGGGCTACCAACCCCCACCCAACAGAACATAGGGCTACCAACCCCCACCCAACAGAACACAGGGCTACCAACCCCCACCCAATAGAACACAGGGCTACCAACCCCCACCCAACAGAACACAGGGCTACCACCCCCACCCAACAGAACACAGGGCTACCACCCCCACCCAACAGAACACAGGGCTACCACCCCCACCCAACAGAGCACAGGGCTACCAACCCCCACCCAATAGAACACAGGGCTACCACCCCCACCCAACAGAACACAGGGCTACCAACCCCCACCCAATAGAACACAGGGCTACCAACCCCCACCCGATAGAACACAGGGCTACCACCCCCACCCAACAGAACACAGGGCTACCAATCCTCACCGAACAGAACACAGGGCTACCAACCCCCACCTAACAGTACACAGGGCTACCAACCCTCATCCAACAGAACACAGGGCTACCAACCCCCACCAAACAGAACATAGGGCTACCAACCCCCACCAAACAGAACATAGGGCTACCAACCCCCACCCAATAGAACACAGGGCTACCAACCCACACCAAACAGAACAGAGGGCTACCAACCCCCACCAAACAGAACACAGGGCTACCAACCCCCACCAAACAGAACACAGGGCTACCAACCCCCACCCAACAGAACACAGGGCTACCATCCCCCACCCAACAGAACACAGGGCTACCAACCCCCACCCAACAGAACACAGGGCTACCAACCCCCACCCAACAGAACACAGTACTACCAACCCCCACCAAACAGAACACAGGGCTACCAACCCCCACCCAACAGAACACAGGGCTACCAACCCCCACCCAACAGAACACAGGGCTACCAGGGCTACCATCCCCCACCCAACAGTACACAGGGCTACCATCCCCCACCCAACAGAACACAGGGCTACCAACCCCCACCCAACAGAACACAGTACTACCAACCCCCACCAAACAGAACACAGGGCTACCAACCCCCACCCTACAGAACACAGGGCTACCATCCCCTACCCAACAGAACACAGTACTACCATCCCCCACCCAACAGAACACAGTACTACCAACCCCCACCAAACAGAACACAGTACTACCAACCCCCACCAAACAGAACACAGGGCTACCAACCCGCACCCAACAGAACAGAGGGCTACCATCCCCCACCCAACAGAACACAGGGCTACCATCCCCCACCCAACAGAACACAGGGCTACCAACCCCCACCCAACAGAACACAGTACTACCAACCCCCACCAAACAGAACACAGGGCTACCATCCCCCACCCAACAGAACACAGGGCTACCAACCCGCACCCAACAGAACAGAGGGCTACCAACCCCCACCCAACAGAACACAGGGCTACCATCCCCCACCCAACAGAACACAGGGCTACCATCCCCCACCCAACAGAACACAGGGCTACCAACCCCCACCCAACAGAACACAGTACTACCAACCCCCACCAAACAGAACACAGGGCTACCATCCCCCACCCAACAGAACACAGGGCTACCATCCCCCACCCAACAGAACACAGGGCTACCAACCCCCACCCAACAGAACACAGTACTACCAACCCCCACCAAACAGAACACAGGGCTACCAACCCCCACCCAACAGAACACAGGGCTACCAACCCGCACCCAACAGAACAGAGGGCTACCAACCCCCACCCAACAGAACAGAGGGCTACCATCCCCCACCCAACAGAACACAGGGCTACCATCCCCCACCCAACAGAACACAGGCCTACCAACCCCCACCCAACAGAACGCAGTACTACCAACCCCCACCAAACAGAACACAGGGCTACCAACCCCCACCCAACAGAACACAGGGCTACCAACCCCCACCCAACAGAACACAGGGCTACCAACCCCCACCCAACAGAACACAGGGCTACCAACCCCCACCCAACAGAACACAGGGCTACCAACCCCCACCCAACAGAACACAGGGCTACCAACCCCCACCCAACAGAACACAGGGCTACCAACCCCCACCCAACAGAACACAGGGCTACCATCCCCCACCCAACAGAACACAGGGCTACCAACCCCCACCCAACAGAACACAGGGCTACCAACCCGCACCCAACAGAACAGAGGGCTACCCACCGAGTCAGGGCTGCCCATGGGGACCTGAGGCAGGGTGCTGGGGTCCAGTTGGGGCTCCCCCAGTATCTGGACGTTGGGGTCCGAGGACCTTATGAGGGCTCGACTCAGGGCTGACCAACTCCACAACGCCAGCAGGGCTGCCACCCTCATCCTGCCAAGTGACCAGGAACACCCCCACCTACAACAACATAGTATTATTATTATTATTATTATTATTATTATTATTATTATTATTATTATTATTATTATTATTATTATTATTATTAACAATTAACAGTGGAGAAGCTTACTACAATATCTCTCTCTCGCATAACTTAACTTATCAGCAGTTATCTGGGCAGTCGCTTTTGGCATTTAGGCACATTCCTATGTTCGTTTCCTTAGTGTAGACTGCAGTGTGGAAACCTCAAAGGTTTCCACACTGCAGTCTGTGTGCAGTCCACACGGTTTTTGCAGTGTGAGGTTTCCACACTGCAGTCTACACTAAGGAAACAAACATAGGAATGTGCCTAAATGCCAAAAGCGACTGCCCAGATAGGTACAAGAGGAGTGTTGTTAACGCATATGTCGACCGTGCTCTCAGCCACAGCTCAGAATGGAAGCAAGTCGACGAAGAACTCTGTAGGGTAAGGCAGGTCCTAGTCAATAACGGCTTCTCCAATGGTTTCGTCGAAGACATCATAAGAAGGAAAGTGAAACGCCATGCAACCTCTGAAGAGACAACCAACACAACACCTATACCCCCTATTAGACTATTTTACAGGAACTTCTTTTCCACAGCTCATAAAACAGAGGAAAGGGTCCTGAAAGATATTGTTAATAGAAACGTTATCCCTACAGACAAAAATCAGAGGATACAACTGACGATTTACTATAAAACCAGAAAAACGGCCAGCCTACTCATGAGAAACTCTCCAGACACAAAACAGAACGCTTTAAAAGAGACCAACGTCGTCTATGCCTTCAAATGCCTACTTGGGGACTGTAAGCTCCAAAAAACCCAGTATATAGGCAAGACAACATCTCTTTCTAGGCGTTTAACGATGCATAAGCAACAGGGCTCCATTAAGGAACATATAATCTCTTCCCACAACCAAACCATCGCCAGAGAAATCCTAGTAAACAACACAGAAATCATCGATAGATACAGCGATAGCAGGTGGCTTGACGTTTGCGAGGCACTACACATCAAGAAGTCAACACCAGCAATCAACAGCCAATTAATGCACAACTATATTCTACCCACCTCAAGACTCCGCTCCAATATAGAAGCATCAAGAAATATGGACCAATAGGCTTTCCACAATCACTTCTATTCAATACCCATTGTTTCGTGTTCTGTCTTGTGTTGATGAAATTAATACCTTATTAAGTACCACCTCACCCCATCCACCTCACTCAAATGTAGATATAAACAAATCGGAGATGTGTAAGTTCTATTCAGTTGTGTATACTAAAGTCTTTGAAAATGTAATAAGTTTTACGAAACGCGCTCAAGTGTCGCGTCAGACTAGAAATAAAAATGAATTTTGGAGAATTGATTTTTTAATTACCACCAACAGTGAAAAGAAATGTACGAAAGATTGAGAAAATTCGTGTTAGAATTATTAATCTTACTTTTTCGGTCATATTTAATAATATATATATATATATATATTATATATATATATATATATATATGTATATATATATATATATATATATATATATATATATATATATATATATATATATATATATATATATATATATATATATATATATATATATATATATATATATATATATATATATATATATATATATATTGTTACGATAATCTCCTTCAAGAGAGATTTGGCCTGCTCTTTCCTATTGTCATGTTACTTCAGTACATCTACAACATCTAGATACTACAAGCAAGTGTAGTACATATTTAGTCAAATACGTTTTGCCAGGCGCATATGTATATCACACTCGCTCTCCACCTCCCCTCTCCATCGTCGCCGATCACCAAACTACCATTTCCAGCCAGCCTGCTTCTGATTGGTGAATCGACGTTTTCACCACTGCACCTTTGCACCTCAGCGCCATTTACCTAGACGATGTCTGGGCCTGCACCAGCCGTTGATTGATTGTTGCCGCCGAAGGCGGCTAGTTTATTGTGCACCCCATACTCATCCTGTGAGCAGTAGCGCAAAAGCATTACAGAGGGCACAAAAGGTCTTTATCAGACCTCATCTTAGATTATTACATAAACAATTTCTTCAATCCTTCACACCTTATAGATACAATGTCAGCTAGTTACAGAGAAAGTGCTATTACAAGAGCTACATATTTACAGTAAGTCATCATACATTAATGGTAGGTCTTGTCGTTAATACATAATAGTTTGGCCAATGGGGATATTACAGAGTCATAGGGGAGCTTCTGTTTATTATTAGTCCTCACAATACACTACTTGTTTCTGAATCTCATATGTCGTTCATCTACTGGAAGCAAAATGTGGGTTCAGTGCAAGGATTTCAGGTAATTTATAGTGTAAAGTGTGTGGACATAGGCAGGGACACACACTCGAACACTATATCTTGGATTGTTGTAAAATTGAGCCATTTAGAGATAAATCTAAGCTCACTCTGTATGATATGGCAACCTATCTTATTACCAGCCATTGGAGTTAGAATATCCTGTGCTCTCAAAGCTGACACAACCATCTGATATACGCTCTGTCTATTAGTGGATGTTCTCAGCCAACGATTTATTCTCAGCACCTGTTTATTTCATTTTTGTCTTTATCCATTTTAGAGTAACGTCACCACTATTTTATTTTATGTTATTTTTTTACTTTATAATCTTGTTAGTTTGCACTGTACCTAGAGAAGGAATTGTCTTATTCATAATTTGTTTTCAATTTAATTAAAGTTTCATTGTTCATACTATTTGTTTTGCTTCTTTTGCCTTACTTTGCCACAGGACACAACAGCTACGCAGTTATCTTTTTTTTAAACGTGATAGGCATTGACACCAGCCATTGGGAGGACTGCTGAACACCTACACTCCTTTTTTCCATCACATTTAATGGGGGCCTGTCCGGGAGCCTCTCTCAGGTACTAGAACATCAATTTATGGTAAGTGTACTTGGCTTTGATACAGTTGCTTTTCAATATTTTCATTACTTTTAATATTTATATGGTGGTGTGTATTTTGTGCTTTCCGAGGGTAGCTTATTGTGAGTGTTGGATAACTGTGGATTACGTTGTGACTGGAGGCCTCAGTCATTCTCTTAATTGGTCATCCCTCCCTCAGTGTTATTACTCGTGTATTCCACCTTTTTTGTCCCTAGGATATTTCTCCAATTCAGACATATCATCATTTTGGTACCCTGGTACTTTGATTTGTCTTCGGGCCAAAGTACCCTATCTTCTGCAATCCGACCACTGGAGGATACAGAGGGTCATAGTTCCTCTAGCACAGACTACGCTGTTGAGTTGGGACCTCAACAGCAGTTCTCATCACCAGTTGACACTCGCACCCCTATACGTCGGTCAGAGATGATGATATTTACTCAGGTAGGGAATTAGCTTTCTTTTTTCAGAGCACAAGAAACGCTAATTCTGTAAGTATCATATAATTAAGTAGGAAAACCCTTGCTTCTGTCCTATAGAGACTCGACAAGGTATCCCTACATTCTTGGACTACCTTTTCACTTTTGAAACAATTAAAAGTGTCATTTGTTTTAGAAACTATCGGTTTCATTTATTTAGTAGGATTTTCTTGGCATTATTCTCTTACATTGAGTACCGGGTACAAGATTTCTTGCGATTTTGATTGACTAATCATTTACCATACCAATATTAACGTTAATTGTTAACGATTAAATTTCCACAGGATAGTTACCAGTTGCCACGTCATCCTGTTACTGACACTTAGAATATCACAGGTATATTCATTGTACATTTATTTGCTATTTCAAAATGTTTCGTCTCTCAGCATTTCGTAATGGTCCAGCAAGTGAAGTAGGGAACTTATTTCGTGCCAGAAGGACCAAATTACAAACTCTTGCACACGAGTATCAACTAGATGTTCCCCCTGGAGCCAACAAAAATGACTTGCACAATATTATCTTGGATCACCTCTTAGATGAAGGAATTATAGACTCTGATGCTCACGAAAACTATTCTATTCCAGATAAACATGCTCTGGCAGCTATGAAGCTAAAGCTCGAACTAGCGAACATAAAACGGGAACAACAAAAAGAAAATCTCCAGATAAAGAAAGAAGAGGCTGCCCTAAGGAAGGAAGAACAGGAACGCGAGGTGGCCCTAAAGAAACGTGAGATGGCCCAAAAGAAAGAAGAACAAGAACGCGAGGCGGCCCTGGCGAAGCGTGAGCGAGTACAGCTTGAAACAAGAAAACGTCACTTCGAGATGCAACGTGAGCACGATAAGAAGCAAGCTGATATGGCTCCAGCATGTCGTCAACAAGAACTCACCTTGGAAACTACACACCACACTCAGCGCCAACACGCTACAGCTAGTCTTCCCATAAGTTTCAATGTCTCCCATGCAAGTAAGTTAATGCCTCCATTCGTTGAGACAGAGATAGACGTGTTTTTTACCACTTTTGAAACCCTAGCTAAAAAACTTAGCTGGCCTAAAGATCAATGGTCTACCCTTCTCAGAGTGCATCTCACAGGTAGAGCTGCGGTTATTCTCAGTACCTTAGCGTCTGAGAATGACTACCAGACCCTGAAGCAAGCAGTTTTGGATGCCTACCTTCTCTTCACCGAAAGCTACAGACGAAAATTCCGTGATTTTCTAAAGGCAAGTACCACCACCTTTTTAGAATTTGCCAATACAAAGAAAAGATATTTCATGAAATGGCTGGAAGCAGCACATGTTTCTACATTTTCAGAACTCGTCAACCTCATTCTAGTTGAGGAATTCTTGAGACGTGTTCCCCCTTCCATCCGTTTATATTTAGCAGACAAAGAAGAAACCGACTACATCAGATGTGCGAAGTCGGCTGACACCTACAGCCTCATTCACCGGCTAACACCAGACCCACCTTCCAGTAAGAAGTCTTGGTATAGTTATGACAAAGTGAGTACCGATCAAGCGAGCTCCCAATTGTATTGTAAGTATTGCAAACTCTATGGACATACCATAGATAAATGTGGAAAAGCTCAATACAAAGGCTATAGTGAAACTCCTAAACCCAAACCGACTCCTCCTAAGTCCGGTAAGCCTGTGATGAATGTTGGTGTTCCTGTTAATGATCTTTCTCTGTTCAGCGAACACCTGTATCCTGGAACTGTCTCTGCCAGCAGTACAGATTCGGAGGGACGTTTCAAATTGAAGATCTTGAGGGACACAGCGGCTCTTCAGTCAATAATATTCAAATCGGCTGTGCCTAACATCACCTACACCGAGGAAACCGTCCTTATCACTGACCTCACTGTTACCACTCCGTATCCACTCGCCAGAGTCCACCTGGATTGCCAGAGTCCACCTGGATTGCCAGAGTCCACCTGGATTGTCCTTTCGTGACTGGTGAAGTCCAAGTCGCCATCAGGGAAAAGCCTTTTCCCATGTCTGGAGCGCAACTTCTCCTGGGCAATGACTTGGCCGAAGATCTGCAACCTTCCGACCTGATCATCATGGACAAACCCCAGGTATGTGACTCTGCAGTGGACAACCCCATCTTAAAGTATGTTCCAGCAGAGGTCCAAGAAAGTGATGAAGTTTCTCCTCCGGTTTTGGTGACCACCCGTGCACAAGCTGCACGCCCGCAACCAGCTGACTCTACTGTAACCGCTGTCCCTCAAGAACATCAGAACCTACCACAGAATCTTACTATGTTGGAGTTCCGTAAGTTACAGAGGGAGGATCCATCATTAACACCATTATTCTTCCAGGCTGAGACTCAACCTGACAGTATCCCTGGGTTCTTCCTAGAGAATCAGTTGCTCTACCGCAGGTACAGACCCAGTAAGCTGACGGAGGATGACGATTGGGCAAATGTCGAACAACTAGTGGTTCCCACTAGCCTACGGCCCGATATTCTACACCTGGCCCACGGAGCACTTTCTCACTATGGTTTTAACAAAACCTATCACGGAATCAGACAAGACTACTACTGGCCAGGTATGGTTAAAGACGTCAAAAGTTACGTGCAACAGTGTCATACATGTCAGATGGCAGGGAAACCTAACATCCCGATTCCCAAAGCTTTAATTCCTATCCAGGTGCCTGCGGAACCTTTCCACAGACTCATCATAGACTGTGTTGGTCCTTTACCCCGGACCAGTTCTGGCAACACTTACATACTAACCATCCTGTGTCCAACCACCAGATTCCCCAAAACAGTTCCTGTAAAGAACATTACGGCTGCTACGGTGGTAAAACAACTATTGAAGATCTTCACCCAGTATGGATTTCCAAGGAAGTTCAAAGTGACTGTGGCACCAACTTCACCAGTGATCTCTTCAAGAAGACACTGGAAGAGTTCAACATCACTCAGGTATTGTCCAGTCCCTATTTTTTTTTTTTTTGAGATATATACAAGAGTTGTTACATTCTTGTACAGCCACTAGTACGCGTAGCGTTTCGGGCAAGTCCCTGGAATACGATCCCCTGCCGGGAAGAATAGTTTTTTCATCCAAGTACACATTTTACTGTTGCGTTAAACAGAGGCTACAGTTAAGGAATTGCCCCCAGTAAATCCTCCCCGGCCAGGATACGAACCCATGACATAGCGCTTGCGGAACGCCAGGCGAGTGTCTTACCACTACACCACGGAGACTGTACTGTTCAACTGTTCAACATAACAGGCCAATTACACCTGATTAATCTTTGTATAATAGTAGCTGCCTTGTATGGGCCAATGGGCCTTCTGTAGTTACCTTTATTCTTATGTTCTTATGTGCTTCGTTCCCCATTTATCCCCTATGTATCCCCCTTGTTTTTACCTTTATCACCTGACCCTGTACGAGTATAAATCAACGAGTCCTGTAATTTCATTTCACTTGAGAATGAACCATGGAGGTTCGAAACGTGCAAATTGTATAAATAAGTGTAATGCATTCTATAGTAATTCACTTTTTTCTTCACTTTGAAATAACGAAAATGAGTTTTGGAGAACTCTTTCAGCTAAGCCCTGATGCTAGGAAAATAGTTAGAGGGATAGAAGCCCTAAACCAGAAGATAGTAAATACAGAATATGCGGTCATATTGAATGAGACGTGTTTAAAAGAAAACTTGCTGCCAGTATACACATATACACATGTAGAGTGTGTGAGGTGAGGATGGTGAAGGTGGCCCACATACTGCACCATCACACCGCCTCTATGACTATATACGCCGCATATTACCATAGATGCGGGCGTCGGGAATATTCTGGAGTTGCCGGCGGTTATCTGGGCGTGCTGGCGTCCGTGTTGACGTTGACGTCGGTGTTGGCGTCCGTGTTGGCGTTGACGTCGGTGTTGGCGGCGTCCGTGTTGGTGTTGACGTCGGTGTTGGCGTCCGTGTTGGCGTTGACGTCGGTGTTGGCGGCGTCCGTGTTGGTGTTGACGTCGGTGTTGGCGTCCGTGTTGGTGTTGACGTCGGTGTTGGCGGCGTCCGTGTTGGTGTTGACGTCGGTGTTGGCGTCCGTGTTGGCGTTGACGTCGGTGTTGGCGGCGTCCGTGTTGGTGTTGACGTCGGTGTTGGCGTCCGTGTTGGTGTTGACGTCGGTGATGGCGTTGACGTCCGTGTTGACGTTTACGTTGACGTCGGTGTTGGCGTCCGTGTTGGTGTTGACGTCGGTGTTGGCGTCCGTGTTGGTGTTGACGTTGACGTCGGTGTTGGCGTCCGTGTTGTTGACGTTGACGTCGGTGTTTTCGTCCGTGTTGGCGTTGACGTCGGTGTTGGCGTCCGTGTTGGTGTTGACGTCGGTGTTGGCGTCCGTGTTGGTGTTGACGTTGACGTCGGTGTTGGCGTCCGTGTTGGTGTTGACGTCCGTGTTGGTGTTGACGTCGGTGTTGGTGTTGACGTCGGTGTTGACGTCCGTGTTGGCGTTGGTGTTGGCGTCCGTGTTGGTGTTGACGTCCGTGTTGGTGTTGACGTCCGTGTTGGTGTTGACGTCGGTGTTGACGTCCGTGTTGGTGTTGGCGTCCGTGTTGGTGTTGACGTCGGTGTTGGCGTCCGTGTTGGTGTTGACGTCGGTGTTGGCGTTGACGTCGGTGTTGACGTCGGTGTTGACGTCCGTGTTGTGTTGGCGTCCGTGTTGGTGTTGACGTCCGTGTTGGTGTTGGCGTCGGTGTTGACGTCCGTGTTGGTGTTAGCGTCCGTGTTGGTGTTGACGTCGGTGTTGACGTCCGTGTTGGTGTTGGCGTCCGTGTTGGTGTTGACGTCCGTGTTGGAGTTGACGTCGGTGTTGACGTCCGTGTTGGTGTTGGCGTCCGTGTTGGTGTTGACGTCCGTGTTGGTGTTGACGTCCGTGTTGGTGTTGGCGTCCGTGTTGGTGTTGACGTCCGTGTTGGTGTTGGCGTCCGTGTTGGTGTTGGCATCCGTGTTGGTGTTGACGTCCGTGTTGGTGTTGGCGTCCGTGTTGGAGTTGACGTCCGTGTTGGTGTTGACGTCGGTGTTGACGTCCGTGTTGGTGTTGACGTCCGTGTTGGTGTTGACGTCGGTGTTGGTGTTGACGTCCGTGTTGGTGTTGGCGTCCGTGTTGGTGTTGGCATCCGTGTTGGTGTTGACGTCCGTGTTGGTGTTGGCGTCCGTGTTGGAGTTGACGTCCGTGTTGGTGTTGACGTCGGTGTTGACGTCGGTGTTGACGTCCGTGTTGGTGTTGGCGTCCGTGTTGGTGTTGACGTCCGTGTTGGTGTTGGCGTCCGTGTCGGTGTTGACGTCCGTGTTGGTGTTGACGTCGGTGTTGGCGTCCGTGTTGGTGTTGACGTCCGTGTTGGTGTTGACGTCGGTGTTGGTGTTGGCGTCCGTTTTGGAGTTGACGTCGGTGTTGGCGTCCGTGTTGGTGTTGACGTCCGTGTTGGTGTTGACGTCGGTGTTGGCGTCCATGTTGGTGTTGACGTCTGTGTTGGTGTTGACGTCGGTGTTGGCGTCCGTGTTGGTGTTGGCGTCCGTGTTGGTATTGACGTCGGTGTTGGCGTCGGTGTTGACGTCCGTGTTGGTGTTGACGTCGGTGTTGGCGTCCATGTTGGTGTTGACGTCGGTGTTGGCGTCCGTGTTGGTGTTGACGTCGGTGTTGGTGTTGGCGTCCGTGTTGGTGTTGGCGTCCGTGTTGGTGTTGGCGTCCGTGTTGGTGTTGACGTCGGTGTTGGTGTTGGCGTCCCGTGTTGGCGTCCGTGTTGTGTTGACGTCCGTGTTGGTGTTGACGTCCGTGGTGTTGGCGTCCGTGTTGGTGTTGGCGTCCGGTGTGGCGTCCGTGTTGGTGTTGACGTCGGTGTTGACGTCCGTGTTGGTGTTGACGTCCGTGTTGGTGTTGACGTCCGTGTTGGTGTTGACGTCGGTGTTGACGTCCGTGTTGGTGTTGGCGTCCGTGTTGGTGTTGGCGTCCGTGTTGGTGTTGGCGTCCGTGTTGGTGTTGGCGTCCGTGTTGGTGTTGGCGTCCGTGTTGGTGTTGGCGTCCGTGTTGGTGTTGGCGTCCGTGTTGGTGTGGTGGACGTCCGTGTTGGTGTTGACGTCGGTGTTGGCGTCGGTGTTGGCGTCCGTGTTGGTGTTGGCGTCCGTGTTGGTGTTGGCGTCCGTGTTGGTGTTGACGTCGGTGTTGGTGTTGGCGTCCGTGTTGGTGTTGACGTCCGTGTTGGTGTTGGCGTCCGTGTTGGTGTTGACGTTGGTGTTGGCGTCCGTGTTGGTGTTGACGTCGTGTTGGTGTTGGCGGTGTTGGTTGGCGTCCGTGTTGGTGTTGACGTCCGTGTTGGCGGTGTCGTTCGGTGTTGGCGTCCGTGTTGGTGTTGGACGTCCGTGTTGGTGTTGGCGTCCGTGTTTGGTGTTTGCGTCCGTGTTGGTGTTGGCGTCGGTGTTGGCGTCCGTGTTGGTGTTGGCGTCCGTGTCGGTGTTGGCGTCCGTGTTGGTGTTGGCGTCCGTGTTGGTGTTGGCGTCCGTGTTGGTGTTGACGTCGGTGTTGGCGTCCGTGTTGGTGTTGACGTCGGTGTTGGCGTCCGTGTTGGTGTTGACGTCGGTGTTGGCGTCCGTGTTGGTGTTGACGTCGGTGTTGACGTCGTGGTGTTGGCGTCCGTGTTGGTGTTGGCGTCCGTGTTGGTGTTGGCGTCCGTGTTGGTGTTGGCGTCCGTGTTGGTGTTGGCGTCCGTGTTGGTGTTGGCGTCCGTGTTGGTGTTGGCGTCCGTGTCGGTGTTGGCGTCCGTGTTGGTGTTGGCGTCCGTGTTGGTGTTGGCGTCCGTGTTGGTGTTGACGTCGGTGTTGGCGTCGGTGTTGGTGTTGACGTCGGTGTTGGTGTTGACGACCGTGTTGGTGTTGACGTCGGTGTTGGTGTTGGCGTCCGTGTTGGTGTTGGCGTCCGTGTTGGTGTTTGCGTCCGTGTTGGTGTTGGCGTCCGTGTTGGTGGTGACGTCCGTGTTGGTGTTGACGACCGTGTTGGTGTTGACGTCGGTGTTGGTGTTGACGTTAAACTGGTAGGCCTAACAACCCTCCAGAGACTGATAGGCCATAACTCAAAAACAAACCTAAGCTAATAACGAAAATTTTCAGCCACATAATTACTGAAAACTTTACAAAACATTAATGAAAACTAACAATTAATTTTTCTCACCTAAATGTTGGAGTATAGCTGGGAAAACTTGACGGGGGGGGGGGGTGAGAGTAAGAGCTTGGGGGGGGGGTAAAGCTTGAGAGTAAGAGCTTGACGGTGGGGGGGGGGGTAAAGCTTGAGAGTAAGAGCTTGACGGTGGGGGGGGGGTAAAGCTTGAGAGTAAGAGCTTGACGGTGGGGGGGGGGGTAAAGCTTGAGAGTAAGAGCTTGACGGTGGGGGGGGGTAAAGCTTGAGAGTAAGAGCTTGACGGTGGGGGGGGGTAAAGCTTGAGAGTAAGAGCTTGACGGTGGGGGGGGTAAAGCTTGAGAGTAAGAGCTTGACGGTGGGGGGGGGTAAAGCTTGAGAGTAAGAGCTTGACGGTGGGGGGGGGGGGTAAAGCTTGAGAGTAAGAGCTTGACGGTGGGGGGGGGGTAAAGCTTGAGAGTAAGAGCTTGACGGTGGGGGGGGGGGTAAAGCTTGAGAGTAAGAGCTTGACGGTGGGGGGGGGGGGTAAAGCTTGAGAGTAAGAGCTTGACGGTGGGGGGGGGGTAAAGCTTGAGAGTAAGAGCTTGACGGTGGGGGGGGGGGGTAAAGCTTGAGAGTGAGCTTGACGGTGGGGGGGGGGTAAGAGCTTGACGGTAAGAGCTTGACGGGGGGGGGGGTAAAGCTTGAGAGTAAGAGCTTGACGGTGGGGGGGGGGTAAAGCTTGAGAGTAAGAGCTTGACGGTGGGGGGGGGGTAAAGCTTGAGAGTAAGAGCTTGACGGTGGGGGGGGGGTAAAGCTTGAGAGTAAGAGCTTGACGGTGGGGGGGGGGTAAAGCTTGAGAGTAAGAGCTTGACGGTGGGGGGGGGGGGTAAAGGCTTGAGAGTAAGAGCTTGACGGTGGGGGGGGGTAAAGGTTGAGAGTAAGAGCTTGACGGTGGGGGGGGGGTAAAGCTTGAGAGTAAGAGCTTGACGGTGGGGGGGTAAAGCTTGAGAGTAAGAGCTTGACGGTGGGGGGGGGTAAAGCTTGAGAGAGTAAGAGCTTGTACGGTGGGGGGGGGGTAAAGCTTGAGAGTAAGAGCTTGACGGGGGGGGGGGTAAAGCTTGAGAGTAAGAGCTTGACGGTGGGGGGGGGTAAAGCTTGAGAGTAAGAGCTTGACGGTTGGGGGTAAAGCTTGAGGGGGGGTGGGGGGGAGCTTGAGAGTAAGAGCTTGACGGTGGGGGGGGGGGGGTACGGTGGGGGGGAGGTTGAGAGTAAGAGCTTGACGGTGGGGGGGGGGTAAAGGTTGAGAGTAAGAGCTTGACGGTGGGGGGGGGTAAAGGTTGAGAGTAAGAGCTTGACGGTGGGGGGGGGGTAAAGCTTGAGAGTAAGAGCTTGACGGTGGGGGGGGTAAAGCTTGAGAGTAAGAGCTTGACGGTGGGGGGGGTAAAGCTTGAGAGTAAGAGCTTGACGGGGGGGGGGGGGGGTAGCTTGACGGTGGGGGGGGGGTAAAGCTTGAGAGTAAGAGCTTGACGGTGGGGGGGGGTAAAGCTTGAGAGTAAGAGCTTGACGGTGGGGGGGGGTAAAGCTTGAGAGTAAGAGCTTTGACGGTGGGGGGGGTAGAGCTTGAGAGTAAGAGGTTGACGGTGGGGGGGGTAAAGGTTGAGAGTAAGAGCTTGGGGGGGGGGGTAGAGCTTGAGAGTAAGAGCTTGACGGTGGGGGGGGGGTAAAGGTTGAGAGTAAGAGCTTGACGGGGGGGGGTAGAGCTTGAGAGTAAGAGGTTGACGGTGGGGGGGGTAGAGCTTGAGAGTAAGAGCTTGACGGTGACGGGGGGGGGGTAGAGCTTGAGAGTAAGAGTTGACGGTGGGGGGGGGGTAGAGCTTGAGAGTTGACGGTGGGGGGGGGGGGTAGAGCTTGAGAGTAAGAGCTTGACGGTGGGGGGGGTAGAGCTTGAGAGTAAGAGGTTGACGGTGGGGGGGGGTAAAGCTTGAGAGTAAGAGCTTGACGGTGGGGGGGGGGTAGAGCTTGAGAGTAAGAGGTTGACGGGGGGGGTAAAGCTTGAGAGTAAGAGGTTGACGGTGGGGGGGGGGGGTAAAGCTTGAGAGTAAGAGCTTGACGGTGGGGGGTGGTAGAGCTTGAGAGTAAGAGGTTGACGGTGGTCGTGAGGTCGAGGGAGGAGCGTGGACCTGCGGGGCTGGAGGCTGGCGGCTCACTGGCCCGGCTGGGCGGGCGCCTGCCTCTATGTACCCATGATGGCGCCCTCACCTCTCACGTCATCATGGCCGCCCTCGGTGGCCATACATTAACCTAGTTGTATAGCATCTAGCAGCAAGGGGTATAAGGTTGAGCTTCAGTCCTTGGGCCCAGTCTGGTTGGTGTTGGTCTATATATGCAGCAGGCTCGAGGTTACTTCTAGTAGGAGGGAAGTAGGACTGCGACCGTTATTATTTAATTCCCAAAATCCCGGTCGAACCTCCACCCCCCCCTGTTTTATTTTTAATTTAAATTTTTCGATGAACATTTATCCCAAAAGCCACTTATAGTCATTCATATTTTTTGGGTAAACTCATCAGCTAATTCCAGTCTTACAATATTGGTCAGTGACAATTCTAAGATACTTTTGATTTGTATGTCTAATCAAAGTCTGTTCATTTGTATTATTACGATGTTGTAATATTATTACGATGTTGTCGTCGGTTGCCCGTCCTTTACAGACAAACCAACCCAACATCCGTAGAGTGCTTAACTTAGATCAGGAGATCACCCTGTACGCTTCATACTCTCGGAGAGGCCTCAGCGTCACACATTCAGGGGGTGCGGCTCCAACACTGGTCTCGTTGTCACGTGTACACACCCAACTCGAGCCGCTGTGACTCCCCACTCTCTCCTTATTTGGTATGACCTCTTTAATCCCCCTTTCTTTGGATTGTAATTCTGTACCACCCTGTCCACAGCTGTAGTTCTCTCTCTCTCTCTGTCTCTCTCTCTCTGTCTCTCTGTCTCTCTCTCTCTCTCTCTCTGTCTGTCTCTCTCTCTCTCTCTCTCTCTCTCTCTCTCTCTCTCTCTCTCTCTCTCTCTCTCTCTCTCTCTCTCTCTCTCTCTCTCTCTCCTCTCTCTCTGGGAAGCCTCACTAGGACAAGGGCAATTAACACCTATTCTTAACAAACATTTATTAACAAGACAGAACATATATAAAACACTCTCATACAATATATATAGGTATATAAACTTAAACACCTTATGATATTATAACCTGGTGGCAAACCAATACCATCAGTACTCTATCAGCTGCTTATACCAAGTGGTAGCCCAACTCCTGGCTCGCCACTTGTGCTACCAACCTCACCTAGTGGGTCATGCCTTGTAAAACATATCACACTATCAGCCCTAGAATATATATATCTGCAGGTAATCCAGCCTATAGTTGTAACTCTATAAACTTCAGTATAAGTATTCCTTGGTACAAAAATGATAACCAATCACCCAC